CATCCTGGAGAGCGAAGTCAAGTGGGCCTTAGAAAGCATCACCTCTGGCTTGGACTTTGCTGTTCCTGCTATCTCTTGCTATTTCTTGCAAGAGACACATTGAGACCTTTGGGACCTGCCCTGACTCACACCCCAGCACCACTAATATTAATATTAACAACATTAAGCTTAACTACATCAAGCTCAATAACATCTGAAAGGACAATAACATCTAAAAGGATAAGATTACATGGGAGAGGAGGACAGATCAGGGTTATATGTGGGGGATAAACATTGTGGGTATTTCTTTCAAACAATTTTTCTCTTTTTCTTTTTTTATATATAATTTACTTTATAACTGGAATTTTTAGTTGATTACACTGTATTTGGTTTATATGTTTAATTTGTTCTTTAGTGTGATTGTATTAATTTAGTGTGTTTTCCTTCTTTTTCTTTTCTTTTTTCTCTCTTTATCTCTGGCTGTAAGTTGAGGCACCACTGTAATGGAAAGTTAGAAAAAATAAAGTAACAATCTAATTTTGGAACATTTTAGCAAGTAAGGAAAATTACTTTTCAAACACCATAACAATTAATAGAAATCAACTATTTTAAAAAAACACCAAGCTCTGGGGAACTCATGCAGATGGATGTAAGGGAATTTGCTTTTATCATTTGAGGAATAATTGTGACATTTTATTTCCATTACTTTTACTAGCAATCATGAAGAACAGTCTTCCAATTATTCTAGCTGATTTACTTTACTGACAGAAATGGAGCTCACTTGGCTGATCTCACAATCCCAAGACTGTTCTGCTCATTCTGCTCATTGTTTAAGCTTTTCTGGGACTATAATATTCAATAATTAGGAGGATGCCAGCTTAAAGCTGAATTCTCAACACGTTCTTGAACTGCCTCCCCACCCTCCAGAAATGCTCCTAAATTCTTGACTCAAAAGGTCATCAGTGAATGGTTGAAATCCAGTTGATTTTTACACATGTGGAAGAGAAGCAGTGTAAAATTCCAGTGGGCAATTAATGAGTTGCTGCTGGGATTCTTGGGGTGTCCCCTGCTGGCTTG